ACGACTATTTATTGGATGTTATTATTTGTCACTGAACTATGGAAAAATGCAAGGGATGAGGAAAAGCTGGGAGCAAGGACACCTGGGATCTAGTCTCAACACTTGTCATTGTGTGATATTAGATAAATCATTTCATCTCTTCAGGCATCAGCGCCTTCGTTCCTCAAGTGAGGGGGCTAGAGCAGATAAGTTCTAAGGCCCTGTTTGTAATGATAAGTAATGCTCAGTGGGTTCCACCAGCTAAGAAGAAGCAACAGTGGGGCCCTCCTCTAAGCTTTCCACTAGGGGAATTTGGCTGATATGCCACATACAAAAACTCTTAAGGACTGCAAAACTGACAGTGGCTTGAGATTATTAGCTCCTTGAGAGAAAAGACAGTCATTTGTCATCTTTGTAGCCCTAGCACAGAGTCTTTTGTGTGTGTGTGTGTGTGTGTGTGTGTGTGTGTGTGTGTGTGAGGCCATTGGGGTTAAGTGACTTGCCCCAGGTCACACAGCTAGTACGTGTCAAGTGTTTGGTCTGAGGCCGGATTTGAACTCAGGTCCTCCTGACTTCAGGGCCGGTGCTCTATCCACAGCGCCACCTAGCTGCCCCTCAGAGTCTTATATATAATATGTGTTTATGAAACTTTCTCAAATGGAATTATTTGGTGAATTGGGGACAAGTTATTCATTCATTCAGTCATTTGTCAGGTACTTGTGTAGTACAATGACGAGAGGGCTAAATTTGGAGTCAGAAGATCTACGTTCAAATTTCAGCTTTTTTCTTAATACTTGTGACGTTGGTCAAATAATTCATCTCTCTGAGCCTGTTTCCTCATTTGTAAAATAAAGGAGTAGCTAACATTTATTTACATAGCACTTACGGTATGCAAAATGCTTTACAAATATTATCTCATTTGATCCTCACAAAAACCCTGGGAGGTAAGTGCAATCATTACCCCATTTTATCCCTATTTTACAGTTGAGGAAACCGAGAGAGACAGAGGTAAAGTGACTTGCCCACAGTCACACAGTTAGTAAGTGTCTGAGGCTCGATTTCTGCTCAGGTCTTTCTCTCTCTCAGTGTACCACTCTACCCATATGCTTCCTAACCAACTGAAAGATTTCTCCACTCTCTTCTTGCTTTAAGTTTCTGTTTCTATGAGCATAGGTAACAAAACACTGCTTACTGCTAAGGGAGATATAAACATCATAGATTTAGAGCTGAGAGGGTCCTTCTATAGGACTTAGAGGCTTATAAAGCACTTTCTCCACAACATCTCCGAGTCAGACATTCCCATTCCCATTTCACAGATGAGAAAACTGTGGCACATAGCAATTAAGTGAATTGCTCACAGTCACACAACTAGTTTCAGAGTGCATTTTGGAAGATGAAGGCTCTTGCATGATGCTATGCTGTTTCTTAATAAAAAGCATCTAATATAAATGGGTATTCAAAGCCCCCCAAATACCACCAAACAAGTATCTGGGTTTCTATGGAAACATAGGCCAGAAGATAGGTTTGCACTAACCCAGAGAGCAATTGGAAATGTGTGTGGTGACCTATGGAGAAGGTTACATCTTTAGGGGTTGCAAGTGGGGTAGGATGCTATAGCATCTTGGAAGATATTCCCTGCATGCTCTGGGGAAGCTGGCTCTGCCAGGGCCAAGTGTAACTGCTTTTAGGCTGTGGATTCAGCGAGGGCTATTGGGAGCCCTGGGACAGTCGGAGAGGTATTCCTGAGATCTAATTATGATGTCTATCTTCTGCAGAATTATCACAAAGCTTGGGACCAAAGAACCTGACCACATACCATCTGTTTTCTTCTGGATCTCAATTTACACATCTGTAAAATGGTAATCAAAATGTCTGCCATACTTAACTCAGAAGGTTGTTGTGGAAACCAAATGAGATCATTTATGCAAACCTTAAGAACCTATATAAATGGCAGCTATTATTGTCATTGTCATTATTGTCATTGTCTGTAGTCAGCTGAGTTACATTGTAACTCAGGCACAGAATCAATGGGTTTTTGTCTTAATTTCAGCGAATGATACTGAATGCAGTGTATATTTCTACTCAGGAGCTGAGGAGGCAAGAAAAGAAATTACAGCCTCGTCCCCTCAAACTGTGCCTTGGTCACTGTTGATGAAAATAGCAGCTTATGTATGTAGAAGGCTTTACACTTAAAAAGTATGTTCCACACGTGAGCTTGTACTTGCGTGTGCACACACACACACAATCATTTGGTATTCAGAAGAACGTTATAAGTGAGACAGTATATTATTTTTATCTACATTTTAAAGGAGGGGGTGCAGTGAGAGGCAGTGTGGTATAACGGATACAGAACTCTGGCCCTGGAACCAAGAAGTCCAGTCATTTCAGTCATGTGACCTTTGTGACTCAATTTGGGGTTTTCTTAGCAAAGATGCTGGAATGGTTTGCCAGGTCCTCCTCCAGAGGATCCATTTTGTCAGGCAATCAGAGGTTAAGCAACTTGCTCAGGCTCACACAGCTAGGAAGCGTCTGAGGCTGGATTTGAACTCAGGTCTCCCTGACTCCAGGTCAAGTGCTCTATCCACTGTGCCACCTAGCTGCCCCATACATGTGTATTTCTTGCCATCATCATCTTTTTCCTTTCTGGTGAAGTCCCTGAGTTCTGGGTTCAAATCCTCCTGTCTTGCTTCTGACACCTACTGGCTGTGTGACCCTGGGCAAGTCACCTAACCCCTGGTGCTCTTTCCAACTCTTTCAAGACTCTAAGTTGCCCAGAAGGCACCAACCTGAAATAGGTAAGGGGAGTCTTCTCATCTTGGATCTACCTATAGTGATGCTTAATTCCACTTGTCCTCTGTTTCTCTGAAGGTGGATAGCATCTTCCTTCATAAGTCCAAGTCTTTCCATGTTTTTCTAAATCAACCAGCTCATCATTGCATACACCATAGCAGTATTCCAACCCAATCACATTCTGTCTGAGAGATTGTCTATGAAAGTTTTTTCCCCCTCAATTTTCTGCATTCCTTCTATTCTTGGCTGCATAGGTTTTATTTATATAAGAAAATTTTAATTTAAAATAATTAAAATTATCCATTTTACACTTTAACAGTGCTCTCACCTTATAATATAGTTTGTCTGATATTGCTGAATCTGCTTCCTCTACATCTTTTTTCCCTGGTTTCCTCAAAGTTCCTGACCTTTTGTTCTTCAAAATGAACTTTGCTGCTATTCTTTCTAACTCTGTAAGATAATTTTTTAATAATTTAATTGAGATAACATTACATAACTAGATTAGTTAGGTAAAATTGTCATTTTTTAAACTATATTGGCTTTACCTACCCATGAACAATAACTATTACTTCATTTATTTAGATCTGACTTTATTTGTATAAAAAGTGTTTTATGTTTATGTTCGTATAGCTCCTGTGTCTGCTTTGGCAGGTATACTCTCAAATATTTTATGCTGTGTAGTTATTTTAAATGGTCTAAAACAATATTGAATAATATGGCTGACACATAGTATAGTATCTCTATTTTTCTTCTTTTATTAAATAGCCAATTTAAAACAAAAACATATTGCTCCATTGGACTTACAACAAATCATAATTTATTCATAAATAATTTGAAAATAATCGGTTTGTGGTCTCTGAAACCAAACTTCCATGACAAGAAACACCTGGTTATTCTAGCACATCTCCATTTGCTATTTGTTATCTCCCTTGCTGTTTGCACTGGAGACCCAGAGGCTGATAGAATGTTGGGCTGGCTTTTGATTCTGTGTTATTGTTTGGGCTGCTAATGGCCTGAAGCAATGTGTGCCTTGAAATGTCAAGGACGTTGACTTTGGAGACAATTTTGGACTGGACTTTAGCAGTGGAGGAAAGATGATTTCATTAGGTAAATATTTGTTCAGAGACTACATTTTTGAATGCTTACCCCTCTTGCTTTAAATTGTCAGTTAAAGCCAGACCTCCCAATAACTTCAGAAATACCAGGAAAGTGTTTGATGGGTACAAAGGTGCTCCTCTCCTGCCCTACACATTAGCTATAGGAGTGTGGTAGAGTGCTTAGGGAGATGACTCTGAAGGATAGAGAGTGGGTACAGCCAACACAGTGGACTTCTTGACAGGACATTGAGCCACATTACTATCAAAATGAGAACTCCCCTTAGCCCAAATGAGCTCTGAGGCTCAATGTGATTTTGGTCACTATTCTATGAAATAGCATTAAAACCATATTCATAAGAGAAGGTAAGTGGGGTCACAACTTAAGTGGAGTGAGTGGAACCTTAAGACATGGGAGTGGGGAACAAGACACTCAACTCCAAATGCTAAGAATCAACTTCCTGGAACTCTGAATAACTCTTGAATTGGAGCAGGGGTTGTTGCTTCCTGTCATCTATGCTGGAGAAGGTTAGGGGGAGAGAAAACATGGAAGAAGGTAGAGGAAATCTGGAAAAAGAGCAATAGGCCAAGCATGGATCATAAGGTTACTTGGCCCTCTTAAACAGAGTGACCCCCAAATTTTCCTATTAAAGCTTAAAAGCTATTAAAACTTCAAACTGCAGTAAAACTTTGGGGATATCCTGTAGTGTTACTGTGAGTTGAAGAAATCAAGAGCTGCCTTACCAGGACCAGCCATTGGGGGATGCCAAGAGACAAAAAGAGTAAATTCTAGGCCCAACGTTGAGAACTAGTTCAGCTTGGAAATGCCAGGAGGTCTGAAAGGATATGAGAATATACCAGGAGGTCCAAGGAGATGTGAGAGTCACCCAGGACCACCCAGGACCGAGGCCTGATGCTCCCCTCTCCTTTGGAAAGCAAACACATATTTTCAAAGGTTGCAATAATTCATGATCTACAGTGTCCTAGTTACCCCACGAAGCACAAAAACATTCCAGGCAATATTTCATCCAAAGTCAGGCACCCTGATCTAAACAACTTTATTTGGCCAGCCATAACCACAAACATAAATATACATACGACATGTCTATATATATTTATAAGAAAGATGGTCTAATGTCCAGACAACAAAGATAGAATATATCTATTCTATGTGCAACTGTAAAAAGTTACATTTTCAAAGAAGTTAATTAAGAACAGCATTATGAGACAACAAGGTAGTGGGTGGATTACTCCACATTTGCTACATATGTTCACCATCCAATGCTTAGTACTTTGAAGGGTGCCTTTATCTTTTAGGAACAAACCATTAATACCATATGGAGAATTTATTATTCAGTGACTATAGTATTTCAGGACTTTAGAATAAAACCTTCTTATAAAACACATTATAACAAAATCAAGTGACAGGACCTTTGGGGCTAATAGGATGGAGAGATTTGGTATTCCTTGCCTACCACATATGGGAAGTAAGTGCTTGGATTGCTGGAGCAGTGGTTGGGTTCCAACTGTAAGGAAAGGGGAGTGAGTGAAGTTTCTATTCCCCAATGGGTGGGGCTGATGAATTGTCCCAATTTCCCTTGCATGGGAAGGGATTAGAATGCTGCTGCCATCTAACCAGGAGGCATTCAAGTCATATAAGGGGACTTCCCAAAAAGCGTCAGTCATAAGCACATTCTAGGAAATTCCAAGTTAAATATCAACATCATCTTTTTCTGGTTCCAGGACTATTGGGAACTGGAGTTTCGCTGAGCTGCTCTTCTCCAAGAGAGATAAATGACTGCTGAAATCTGAGAGAAAGCAAAAATAGATTCAGGTATTTCAGTAACTGTTGTGATCTTTTAAAAAGGAAGAAAGACTTGGTCTTTGTATATGCATATATTTGTAAATACATATGCATTGAAGTGGCCCCTCCGTTTCAGGAGCTGGTGTACAGGCATAAGGGTACTCATCTTTCTTAATAACTAGCTTGTGAGGCAGCCAGGTAGGCACTGGCCAAGGAAATCAGTCTGACAACCAGGCTCAATTAGAAGGAAAGATTAGGCAATGGGAAAGCATGGAAAGGAGGATGAAAAATCCTTTTCGATTTGAAGCTTCAGCTAATTTGTCCTAGCTCTGGCCTCCCCCTCTCACACCACCTTCTGGCCACAAATGCTCTGAGGGAAGTTCTGTTACATTTTAAGAAAGTTGTGTACAAGATGACAAATTAGATACTGTCAGCTTCCAGTGGTTTCCAAAGTAGTGAGATAAGATGATTATCTAGAATTTGTGAATTAACTAGGGCCAGTTTTTCTCCCTCTCTTCAACCCTGAGCCTTGAATTGTGGCCACTTCATACACTCATTCCAACTTTACTACCACCATCAGAGGAAGGGAGAAGAGGCAAAATACAGTTTGGTCACATGAAGCAACTGGCTCCTGGTTCTGTCTCTGTCAATAATGGTCTATGAAATCCAAATTCTATCACCTCTCTGGGTCTGTTTCCCTGTCCGTAAAATGAGAAGTTTGGACAAGATGAGCTCTGAGATCCCTTATAGCTCTAAAATTCTAATCTGTTCTAATTAGAAGACAGGTTGGTCTCATAAGAATGATTTATAAAGCTTTGAGCCCAGAGACAGCAGCCAGGGCCTACTTACACTGTGACTCTATCAACCCCACGGGACCAAGAAATGAAAGAGGTAAGTCAGACAACATGAAGCACCAAGAAACTGAGGATAAAGATAAGCTCAGCAGAGCTAAGAGCTACAAAGTTCAGGATAGTGCAGTAGAATAGCATCTTTGGAGACAATTTTTGATTGGGCTTCGGCAATGGAGAAAAGGAGGTTTCATTAGGGAAATATTTGTTCAGAGACTGCATTTTGAATACTTACCACTGTTGATTTGAATTGTCAAACCTCCCAGTGACTTCAGGAACACCAGCAAAGTGTTTGATGGGTACATGAGATGCTCATTTCCTGCCCTCCACTCAACAGTTATCTTCAGGAGAAATGGAGATGGAGGAGATTACTGTTACCTGTCTTGGAGAGGCAGCATTGTGCAGTAAATAGGAAGACACAGATCCACATCCCACCCCTGACACACACTGTCTGTGTCCTAACCCCATAGTGCTCTGGCTTAACCTTCTAAGTGGCAGAGAAGAGGCCAACTTGCATTCACAGAGGGAGCTCCCTCACCTGAGCGTTCCCTAGACCAATGAAATAACAGGTGCGTTCCCTAACCCTATCCTTAGACATAACAGCAAAAGTAAGAATCCAAAGGGAATCTTAGGATAGAGAGCTGACAGAATGTAGCTGAGAAAGATAGCAATCTGATGATAAAATAAAAGGAGACAGACAAATCAGGAGAGATAAAAGGCACTAGTAATAAAAAGATTGACAGAAAATTACACAAAAAATCATTGGAACATCATCCATAGGATGTGTTATTCCAATTCATCTTTTGAAATTTCTTGCCTGAGGGGCAGCAAAAGATATGGAGAGAGAAATAGATAAAAGAGAACCAAAAAAACTTCTTTCCATCCATGCAGAAAGTTGAGAAACATGTTCATTAGAATCACAGAATCTCTGAGCTACAAGGAAGCTCAGAGGCAAACTCAACCAACCCATACCTGAATGAGAATCCCTCCCTACCACACACCTGACAAGCTGTCATATACTCTTTACTTGAAAACCTCCAGGGAAGAGAGACTCACTACCTCCTATGGTGGGTGGCTTCTTCAATGTCTAACCGTCAGGAAGACTCTGCTTGCACCAAACTGAAATCAAACTCTGAAACTTCAATCTTCCTCCTGAAGAAATAATATTTCACATTTACATAGCAACATGGCTTAATGGATAGAGCTTAGGACTTGGAATCAGGAAAATCTAGGTTGAAATACTGCCTCTGAAGTTTATTCCATGTATCTCTCTGAGATGTATTAGATTTGTCATCTCGGAGCCTTAGCCATCTCTATATCTATTAGATATATCGTCTCGGAGCCTTGGACAATCCTTGGAGGCAGGGGTTATTAACCTTTTTTATGTCATGGACACCTTTAGCAGTCTAGTGAAGCCTATGAATCCCTTTTCAGAATAATGTGTTGTCTACTTTTGTAATCGAAGGAAATGCTCAATTTTGGCTAGAGGTTAGTGAGATTAAAGATGTAATTTTTTTAGTTCACAGACTGTTTGAAAGCTATATCCACAGGGGCCCGGGGACCTCAGGTTGAGAACCCTTGCTCCAAGGCTTATCTACTAACTTGTAGACTGGATGTGATCTGTGTTAGTAGAGGGAATTCTCATGCCTACAATTTCATAGTCCCTCAACGGATTAAAGTTTAAAAACCCAATTTCCTCAAACTAGCCCTATGAGGCAGGTAGTACAGGGGCAGCTAGGTGGCATCATAGTGCACAGAGCACCAGGCCTGGAGTGAGTTCAAATCTGACCTCAGACCCTTACTAGCTGTGTGACCCTGGGCAAGTCACTTCACCCTGTTGGCCTCAGTTTCCTCATCTGTAAAATGTGTTAGAGAAAGAAATGGCGAGCTACTCCAGTATCTTTGCCAAGAAAACCCCACATGAGGTCATGAAGAGTCAGACATGACTGAAAAATGACCAAACAACAAAACAACAGCAAAATACAAGTATTATTATCTACGTTTTACAGATGAGGAAACTAGTCTCAGAGAGGGTAAGCAACTTGCCCAAGGTCACACAGCTAGTAAAAGTTAAAGCTGGTATTCAAACTTAGGTTTCCTGACTCCAAGTCCAGGGTTTTTTCTGCTATGCACAATGACAGGCCTTCAAATACTTGAAGATAGCTATCATGTGCCCCATATTTTCATTTCTCTAAGTTAAAAACTCTAGTTTCATCAACACATGTCTGTATGGCATGGCCCCCAGTCTCATTACTCTCCTCTGAACATTTGTCTCTGACCTAGCCCCCCAAATTGAATACAGTACTCCCCATGTGGTCTGGTCAGGACAACCTATGTCAGCATTGATATGGTTACAAGGGAAAGCTAACAGAAACACACCAGAAAGCAGACTGACTTCATTTAGAGTAAATACCCAGTCCTTTCCATTTTTAGGCAGGGTGGTTAACAAGAAGTAAAAGCAGTGACTGACTATAGCCCGTGGATGTAAATCAGGGCCCAACCCTCTTGCCTTTGAGCAAAACTGGCTTCACTCTAGAAAGAGGAACTAAACCAAACAAGCCTTCAGGGTACTGGAAAGCCTCCTTGCCCAGGAAGTCTTCCCAAGTCTTCACATGTGAGAGTTTCTGTGCACTCACAGATTTTCCCAGCAGACATCTGGTGGGCTGTGGTGGTTTTTGGAACCTGCTTAAAATAGGCAAGTCTGATGATTCAGATTACATAGAGCTTTTTCCTGTTCACCTTGCATTCTGTCCAGGCTACTGAGCTGAGACTAACACAGGGGTGGGAAACCTGCGGCCTTGAGGCCACATGTGGCCCTCTAGGTCCTCAAGAGCGGCCCTTTGACCGAAGCCCAACCTCACAAAACAAATCTCCTTAATAAAAGGATTTGTTCTGGAAAACATGGACTCGGTCAAAAGGCCAACCCGAGGACCTAGAAGGCCACATGTGGCCTCAGGGCCACTGGTTCCTCACCCCTGGGTCACTAACCCATTCTTCTAGTTGCAAATTTAAGAGCCTCAGATGCTACGGGTGGGACCTTCATCTTCCTCCTTCCCAATCCAGTCATCTAATCCACACATCTTATTTTAGAAGAAATTCAGACTTATTTTACAAATATTTTATGAAACTTATTTTTTTTAGAGAAGTGAAGTGACTTCCCCGGTATCCTTTGTCAATAAATGTTCTGTAAACTCAGTCACATATCAGGTTTTTTTTTTTAATACATGATCTACCTATACTGATAATTAGAAAGTTCCCATTCAGTGTGTGGAAGCTGGGCCTGGAAGAGGCTGTTCATATAGCAATTCCTTGAGCCACAGCTGCAGGCAGAGTTAGGGATCAGTATGTTGCTGAATGAGAACAACAACTATACACATATTGCTCTTGTTTAGAGGCCTCAGAGGAGCAGTGAATAAACTCGGTATTATGGAAGGAATTAACTAGGAGGTTACTTTCTTTTCTACGAAACAAGTGTCATTGGAAAAATTACAGACTCTCGGCAGTTTGTGACAAAGAGGCCACAGATCTAATTTGTAACAGCCAAGATCAATCAACCAATCAGCAAATATTTCTGTGCCAGGCACTGGGCTGGGTGCTGGAGATACAAATACAACAAATGAACCAATCAACACTCTTAAGGCACTTATATTCAAATGGGGCAGACAACAACAGATAAGTACAGACAGCAAAGAGAGAAAGAGTGTGAAGTACTGAAATACAAGATACAGTTGAGGGCATGAGGAAAGGCTTTATGTAGAAGGCAGTGCTTGAAGAAAAGAGAGAAGTTCTGTGAAATGGAATGGGGAAGGAAGGGAATTACAAGCAGGGAAGATAGCCAGGGCAAATGAATGAAGATAGGAAATGCAGGGTCATGTGTGAAGAATAAAGACAAGGCCAGTTTGCCGGGATCACAGGAGAGAGATGAGGCTGTAATATCGGGTTGGGATCAGGGTATGAAGGGATTTAAAAGCTAATTAGAGGAGTTTGTATTTTATCTCAGAGGCAATAGGAAGCCACAGGAGCTGATTGAGTGGGGCAGTGACATAGTCAGATCTGCATTTAAAGAAAATCACTTTGGCAGCCATGGGAGGATGCATTAGACCCAGGAAAGACTTGAGGCAGAGAGACAAATTAGGAGGCCATTGCAATTATTTAGACAAGAGGAAAGGAGGGCCTGAACTAAGGTGGTAGCTACGCGAGTAAGAAAAGAGGTTAGATATGACACATATTGTGGAGGTAGAAATGTCAAGTTTTGGTAACTGATTGGACATGGGAGGTGAGAAGTTGGAGGTTATGCTTAGGTTACAAACCTGGGAGACTGAAAGAATGATGGTGCTTTCAACAGAAAGAGAGGAGGGTTTAGGTAGAAAAGACAATGAATTTTGTTATGAAAATGTTGAGTTTGAGATGTCTCTGGGACATCTAATTTGAAATGTCCAATAGGCAATTAGTGATGCAGCACTAGCTTAGATAGACTTTTTGAGTTTAGTGGAGTAGAAAAGGGCCTGGTGTGCCATGGTCCAAGAGGCCACGAATAGTCAGACATGATTGGACATATGAACAACAACAATGCAGGACTGAGGCTCAGGGTGGAAACTGTGGCTAGATATAAATATATATCTGGGAGTCATCTGTATACAGATGCTAGTTAAACCCATGGGAACTGATGAGGTCATTGAAAGAAAATATAGAGAGATGAAAAGACCCAGGACAGGGCCTTAGGGAACATCAATAGCTGGGGGGAGGGGGGTCACAATCCAGATGAAGAGTAGCAAAGATGCTGCATTCTGCATCGGCATGATGTTTTCTATTGGACTGGTCATACTTGATTAATTTATTTTATTTTATTTTTGGCTAGGCAATGGGGTTAAGTGACTTGCCCGTCAAGTGTTTGGTCTGAAGCCGGATTTGAACTCGGGTCCTCCTGACTCAAGGGCCGGTGTTCCATCCACCGTGCCACCTAGCTGCCTCTGACTACTTAATTTTGGCAATTAATTTTTAAGAGAATAAAAGCCGCATCAATAGTTACTGGACTTTTGAATCTACCCTAAACATTAGCAATTTTCTTTATCCCTTTCTAGGTTTTCATCAGTTGCTAAAGGACTTGGAAATGCCCTTCTATCATTCTTCTACTAGACCATTAGAAACTCTTTCAAGAGCACTACTTTCAAACCGTATCTTGAATCATTTTTGTTGTTTCAACTGAAGAATCTTTTTGCTTTAAGGAGGGGAGACCAGTACACATTGCTGATGATGGAATTTACAGATGAGGAAACTGAGGTGAACAGGGTAAAGTGACTTGGCCAGGGTCACGCAGCTAGTCAGTGTCTGAGGTCAGATTTGAACTCAGGAAGAGGAGTCTTCCTAACTCCAGGCCCGGCCCTGTATCCACTGCAGCGCCACCTAGCTGCCCTTTGCTATACTAGCCACCTTCAAGTTGAGTATGCTAAGGCTCAAGGTAATCCTTTACAGGTGTATCAGGTATATTGCACATCTCCTTTTCATAAGGGACCATTTGATTGTTATGCAAACCCTGTGATGTAGGCAAGGAAGGCATTAATCCTGTCATTATGAATACGGATTAAAAATTCTTTGTGTAAATATGGATTCTCATCTAGAGATGGGAACTCAAGGATCCACTCAGGATCCATAGCTAACAGGTTACAATCACTGGCTTAAACCCTTACCTCTAACACAACATTTAGCTGCTTCTACATTAAGGGACCGCAGGGCATAGAATATAATATTCCACAGGGCAAAGGAGATAGGATTACAACCAAGAATCACCTACCCAGCAAAACTGAGTATAATTCTTCAGGGGAAAAAATGGTCATTCAGTGAAACAGGATTTTCAAGCATTCTTGATGAAAAGACCAGAGCTGAATAGAAAATGTGACTTTCCAATACAAGACTCAAGTGGAAAATGAAGAGTTAAACAGGAAAGAGAACTCATAAGAGACTTATCAAGGTTGAACTGTTTACATTCCTGCATGGAAAGATGATATTTGTAACTCATGAGACCTTTGTCAGTATTAGGGTAGTTAGAGGGAAAAATTATATGTATGTATATATAGATAGATAGATAGATAGAGGGCACAGGGTGAGTTGAAGATGAAGGAGTCATATCTGGAGAATAAAATTAAGGGGTGAGAGAGGATTATACTAGGAGAAGGAGAAAGGGAAAGGTAGAACAGGGTAAATTATCTCACAAAAAAACAGAAAAGAAAAGGCTCTTACAGTGCAGGGGAACCAGGGGAAGGTGAGAGGAAATGAATGAATCTTATTCTCATAGGATTTGACTTAAGGAGGGTATAACATACACACTCAATTGGGTATGGAAATCTGTCTTACCATATAGGAAAATAGGAGGGGAAGGGGACAAGAGAGTAGGGGGATGATAGAGAGGAGGGCAGATTGGGAAAGGGGGTAATCAGAAGCAAATACTTCTGAGAAGGGACAGGGTCAAAAGAAAGAATAGAATAAATGGGGGGGGCGGGATAGTATTAAGGGAAATGGAGTTAGTTTTTCACAGCATGTCTACTATGGAAGTGTTTTGCATAACTGCACAAGTATAGCCTATATTGAGTTGCTTGACTTTTCAATGAGGGTGGGTGGGGAGGGAGGAAGGGAGAAAATTTGGAACCCAAAGTTTAAAAAAACACATGTTTAAAAAAAATGTTTTCACATGCAACTGGGAAATAAGAAATACAGGAGATGGGGTACAGAAATCTATCCTGCCCTATAGGAAAATAGAAGGGGAAGGGGGGTAGAGATAGCAGGGATAGCAGACTAGGGGAAGGAGTATTCAGAATGCATGCCATCTTGGGGTGGAGGGAAGGGTGAGATGGGGTGAAAATTTGGAACTCAAAATCTTGTGGAAGTAAATGTTGAAAACTAAAAATAAAAAAAATAAATTAAAATTAAAAAAAAAAGAAAAAACCCTTACCTCATAGCAAGGGTTATAAACAATAAAGTACATTTTTATAATATATATCAAAGGACTCTCTTATTGTGGACTGGGTCAGATGAGAACTCTTTGACACGTATGAGAATATGGATGAGTCACAGCAAGAGAAGGGACGAATGTACAACAAGAGTACTTGCATCAAGGACATTGCCACATGAAAATCACAGGTCATTCTAGCAATACCAAAAGACAGACTTTAAGCTCAGTAATCACTTCCTTAGGAATGCAGACTGGACATGTGATTTCCTTTGTATCATCAGCTCCCCAGTGAGGAAACTCCCTCTACCAATGCAGATTGTCACCATCTTTGCAACTTAGAGTTTTGCTACCTTGTCCAGTGCAACCCAGTGTCTGTGTCCGGCACTGACCTTGAACTATGGTCTTCCTGGCTTCAAGACCAGTTCTCTAGCCACTAGACATGATGTCACTTGTTCTCTTACCATTATTTTTAAAGGAATCTTCACAGAAAGTAGAAGTGTTTTTCTTCCCACTACAAAAGAATCAGTGGGTAGGTGTATTAATCTTTCTGATCTCAGCTTCCTTCTCCATAAAATGGGAATAATAATGCTTTCAGTGCCTGCCTCACAGAGCTGTATATAACATATACACACATATACATATATACATATGTATACATACATATATAAGGAGAGAGGGAGAGAGACAGAGACAGAGAGAGAGAGACAGAGAGAAAACACACTGTGCTAAGGCTGGGGATACAAATACAAGCAAGTAAAGACAGTCCATGCCTTCAAGGAGCTTACATTCTAATTAGACAATGTATGTAAAGTGCTTCGCAAACCTTAAAGTGTTATAAATAACTGTTGTTATAATATGAGTAAAGATGAATGCCAGATATGGAAAATTATTTACAAAGAGGTCATAAAACTGTAGCGTTTGGTTTTAAGTGAAAACAAATGAAAAAGACAGGATGTTTTCTAGGCCATGTTGAATGTCTTCTGGCAAGCAAGCACATTCTTTACTATAAAGTAGATTTTTAGGTTCTATACTTGACTTGTCCAAGGTCACACAGGTAGTAAGTAGCAGAATCAGGATTCAAACTCAGGTCCTGACATAAGATTCAGGGCTGTTTCTAATGTACTGCCATGCTGAAGAAAGATTACATTTCTTTCTGACTAACGGATTAATTTAGAATACAGCGATACTAACAGTATTATGCTTCCTTCCTGGGCAGCCAAACTTTGGACTAGAAAAGTTTCTCAATGTTCTTTCCACAGACACGAGACTATTCTGGGCTTGGGCTTAGCTTCTTGTATACATCCACATACCTGGGATGTGGAAGTCTGACAAACCAGTTCATCCTATGAACTGCTGAGATTTTCAGCTGTGGAATAAGTGGTTGTGGGCTCTGGGAAAAGAGCTAACACCTTTTTTCTCCAGAATCTTCTAACCCTCTACTTTAACATCTCACCAGAGATAATGACTCTTGGATGAATTTGGTCATTGTTTCTCATAAACAAAAATCTGCTGTCCACAGTAGAAGGGCTCACAAAATGAAAAGTACTGAGTCCTGGTGCAGCCCAGAGAAGGAGAAGGGGAATTGTGGACTGGAACCTTGGAGTTCAGATATTCAACTAACTTCCCTGATTGCCCTTTTCAGGCCTGCTTTCCACCTTTGGTGTCCACTTGATTGACCCAAATCTCACCTGTTTCAGCAGATGGGCTAAACCAGGTTGAAGCCAACTAAGGAGTCTCATACTTGTCGGTGAGTGAGATGGGTGTCTACCCCAAGCATATGAAGATTTTCCCTGGCAGAATGGGCAGATGAGAACAATTTATTCTAAACAGTCATGAAGGCAGCCGAAGCAGTCACTGTGGAGCACTTAGAGCTTGGTCAGACATCAAAGACACCAGGGTCATCCTCTGTATCCCTGGCAATGACCAATCATCCTGACTTTTGTCTTGTCACTGGACTTCGATGACTCTGGAAGAGAGAGTGAGGCCAAAGACTTTAAGCAACTCTGCCTCACTTAAATCCAATTTATGCACAAATCAAAATGCATCACCCATACCAGAGAACTAAGGCAACCAACTTGCTAGACTGCAGAGGTCAGACTAAAACTTTAAAAACTTCAACCATTTCCATGTGAATAGGGATGATTTTTCTCAATGCATTGTTTATGTGAAGTACTTACCAGCTTTCAGTGATCTCTGATATTTCCCAACACAAGGGAATAACAAAGAATTTCATTCCCGGAAACCTCAGATTCTTCCTCGGTTAAGTAGTACTATCATAGGTACTATCAGTTCACAGGGTTGTGGTGAGGAAAACCCTTTAAAAAACTTTTAAAAATCTACATAAATTAGACATTATAAGTACAATCAATTCAAGGCATTGTGGTATAGTGGATAGAGGCATGTCTTCAAAGTCAGAAAGGCCTAGGATCAAGTCTTACCTCAGACACATACTGACTGTATTTTTGTTCGTTGTTTCAGTTGTTTCAGACTCCTCATGACCCCATTTGGGGTTTTCTTGGCAAAGATACTGGAGTGGTTTGCCATTTCCTTCTCCAGCTCATTTTATAGATGAGGAATCGAGGCAAAGAGAAGTGGCTTGCCCAAGGTCACACAGCTAGTAAATGTCTGAAGTCAGATTTGGACTTAGGAAGACGAGTCTTCCTGACTCCAGGCCCGGCCTATCCACTGCAGTGCCACCTAACAGCCCTACTACTAATTGTATGACCCTGGGCAATTCACGTAATCTCTCAGTCACTCAGGCGGCTCTCTAACACTATAAGTTATGAAAACAGTTGCTGACCTCATTAAAAGGAGCTTCCTCACCTGGGAGTTCCCTAGACCAACAGAATCACAGGTCTAGTTCCCCTCTCAAAAAAAATTCAGTTCCCTTTATTGGTCATCAAATGACTCTGCTGACCTGAAAGAATGATTATTCATCTGAAAAGTGAGTAAAACATTCCCTTAGCCTCTGCATACCTCAATCAATGAACCTCCATTCTTATTCATTCTCCAATCTTGCTCCCTCCCCCCACAGCAGAATAGAGAACCTAGGTCCATTTGTGGCACTAGGCAATCATCCCTATGGGCCTCTGCTGATTCTAACTATAGTTTATCCCTTTCTCAATAAAACTCCAGTTGAAGTCCCTTGGGAAGACAGTTTGGCCTAAACTGAATATTTGTGTGGAAATTTTTTTTCTTCCTTTTTATTTCCAACAGTGGGTTTCAAAAACAAAAATACTCCCTAGATTTTGACACAGCAATCTAAGCTCCTTTGAATTGCAACAGTATAATTTGTTACCTGACAATCAATCAAGTCCGTTTGAGGCTTCTTTTAATCATTCTAAAACCTGGATGCTGGTGGGAGGCCATGCTAATTCCCATTTCATACGTTCTTCTTATCAACTGAATTCACAAAGCAACAATTCCATGCATTTTGAATGCCAACAACAGACTTTCTTGTCAGTTCTATAGTCAAAGAATGACACAGTCGAAAAGGACCTTTAGAAATCACCTAGTTCAACCTCATTTTGCACAGGAAACTGAGGTAAAAAGTAAGTTACCCAGATAGCAGAGCTGGGTCTAGAACTAGTCATAGGAATAGTGATTTAGATCTGGGGGAACAAGAGGACCTTAGAGGTAATCTAGTCCAACTCTTTCATTTTACACAAGGAAATGAGGCCTAGAGAGAGGAAAGGACTTGCCCAAGTTCATACAGCAGAGCTGAGACTGGACTGGGTTTGAGCTCTGGTGCTTGCACACCTGTCTGGAGCTCTTTACAGCATGCTACCTCTAAACTCTTCTGAGCAAAGCAGAGGGCAAGATCTCCTACACTTCACTGTAGCTCATTCAATAGGAAGTACATCATAATACTAGAGCACATTTAAGTTTGGGAAAGGATGACATTAGTTGGGCATTTCAAAAAATCATGACAGTTTTTTTTTCAAAGCTTTCATTCACAACAGAAAAATTTAATTGTGTGACCGTGTCTATATTGAAACAACCATTTTTGATCTGCTATAGTTTTATGGCAGAGCATTCACCAATGACACAACAGTCTAAGTCAGTGGTCTCTAAAACTTTTTGGTCATATACCCACCAGTAAAAAATTTTGAGCACATACCCCCAATATATGTGCAAGGGTAGAGGTTCTACTCCCAACTCAATGTAGCCAAAGAAGGCAAAGATACCTCAGATCAAGTAATCAAACAGTGTAACTAGATATGGACATTTTCTTCAGCCCCATCATAATATGTGAATGAGTCATTATGCAGGTTGAGAATATTATAGAGTTTTGGCCATTGGATGAAGGCAGATGATGCCACAAAATCTTGTAATATGGGTCTATGTATAAAAATAGCAGTTAGTTCAGCAGTGGATCAGTTCAGTAGTAGAAGACTTCAACTTTAGGAGTTAAGGATTTCAAAGTTTGAGCCAGGCATCCAAGAAGGAATCATGTGTCCCATCCCCCCAACTCACTGACCATATCATCAAGAGAGACTAGGCCAGTGGGAGACAGTATAAACAGTTGACATCACAGAGACTGGATCAGTATTAGATAATGACTACAACTGGGATTAGAGAGACCAGATGAGTAGGAGGCAATATTTCTAACTAGGGGCAAAGAAACATACCAAGGATAAATGGATGAAGAAAGACAGTCACCCAAGAATGGAGGCAGCTTCAAGAAGCATGACTCCTTGCACCCGAGAAGAATACCAGCTGTAGACACACAAAAAAAGACATCCAGGCCATAAAGCATCAGCTGTCAGTTGCCTGTTTGTCACATATGTATCCTATATGTGTATCTCGCTACCACTGTACTCTAAGTTTGAGATCACTCTTCCTATGGGCCTGCGTGTATTTTAGGGAGAGTGTCCCACGTTTTTTTTTTGAGGGGGATGTTTTGTACCCTCTATTCTTATTATATTATCTTATAAAATATATTTTCTAAAAGCTAATTAGGTCTACTGGCTGATCATCATTGGGAAGTGCACTGGCTTACAATCAAAAGTATTAGAAACAGCACTTTAGGGTTGCAACTAAAACCCTGAGTGCAGTATAAATCACCCTAGAGGATGTGAATGTGAGTTGGGGGAGTGAGCCTAGAGGGTATGCTACCTATGTTTATTCATTTGTTTGTAAATTATATACATATACATGGTTCTAAGTTCAGTTTACTTGGATATATAGTTTTAATGGATGTCATAGTTGAAAAAAAGACCCTCAAAAAGTTATATAGCCCCAAACGGAAATATGGCCTCAATGGCTGTGCTTACATAATCCTCATGATACTTTCTCAATGCCATGCACCAATCATACCAAGTTTTCATTGTAATTTGACTAGCAAATTTTCCTCTTCCCTAATGTTAATCAATTATTCTTTAATTATTATATTTTTAAGAAATGGATCCACTAAATCCACTGAAACTATTTATTTGTAAGATTTTAAAATAGGTTAGGAAATTCTGTTTCCACATTATTAAAGTATGTAGATATGAAAGTTTTTATAGGTTACACACATCATTTTTGGCAATGAAATCACATAACAAAGGAAACATTTCCAAACATCTGTTTTCAAAATGCTCTCTCCATACCACAAGATTCTCTAAAAAGGCAGTTATTTTCTCATTCACTGTTTTTTGGTTTTGTTTTTCAATTTTTATTGCTATCTTTTACTTTTCGATCACCAGAATTTCTCTAGTATCCCTTCCTTCCCTTCCCCCCAGAGAAGCCATTCCATATAGCGAAAAAATATTTTAAGAACAAGAGGAAGATAGAAAAAAAAATCAGAAAAGTCAATTGATTCATTGAAATCGTCTGAAAATATTTGCAACGTACCACACCCATGAGCCTCCTATCTCTGCAAATGAGTAAGGAGGGAGTGTTTTCTTATTTCTCTTCTTTGGGATAAGCTTGTTTTTTTGTATTTACAACAACATTCGTGTTTGATTGTTTTGTAGTTGTTTTATCCATTTATCTTGTCATAATGACTGCATATATTTTTTCTTGACTCTGTTTACCTCATTCTGCAAAATTCTGTGTAAATCTTATGCTCCTATGAATTCATCTACTCGCTATTTCTTATAGCACATGGAATAATGGTATTCCATTACATTCATGTATCACAATTTATTTAGCCTTTCCCCTACTGACGGACATCTACTTTGTTTTCAATTCTTTGCTAAGACAAAAAGTGCTGCTATAAATATTTTGGTGTATATGAGGAATTTCTACTTATCAATGACCTCCTTGGGGTATAAGCCTAGTATTGGAATCTCTAGGTCAAAGGGAATGTACATTTTAGTCACTTTATTGGCATAATTCCAAATCGCTTTCCAAAATGATTGTACTGATTGGCAGTACCACTAACAATGCTCTAGTATTCTCATCTTCCTGAAACTTCTCCAACATTAACTATTTCCATCTTTTGTCATTTTTACCAATTTTGGGGGTGTGAGGTGAAATTTTAAGGTTGTTTTGATTTACATGTTTCTTATTATTAATGATTTGGAGTATTCTTTCATATGGTTGTTAGTTTGCAAGTCTTCTTTTGAGAACTGTTGGTTTATATAATTTCATTCATTGTTAAAACATTTCCTTTGATATCCAAGATATCCAAGAGAACTAAAACAAATATATAACACCAAAAGCCATTCTCCAATGGATAAGTGAGGTCAAAGGATATGAACAAACTGTTCACAAAAGAGAACTTGCAGACCATGAACAACCATAGAGGTAGCATGGTGTAGCACAGAGAGAGCTGGCCGTGGAGCCAGAAAGACTTGAATTGAAATCCCATCTCTGAAACTTACTAGCTGTATGACCCTGGGCAAGTCACTTATCTTTTTAGTACTCTGGGAAACTCTAACACTGTAAACTATAGAGCAGCAATGCACCATGTGCCAACCTGAATTAGTGCAGGGAGTTTCCTCATGTATGAGTTCCCCATACCAACTAAATTATAGGTCCATGCCTATGTCTATGAAACATTTCTCCTTATCACTAATAATAAGAGAACTACAAATCAAAGTAGCTCTGAGGTTTCACCTCCCCCGCAGAAAATCAGCCCAGCTGACAAAAGATGAAAATAGTCAACATTGGAAGGGTTGTGAAAAGACAGGCAAACTAATTCACTGTTGCTGGAGCTATGAATTGTTCCAATCATTTGGAAAGCAATTTGGAATTATTCTAAGAAAGTGACTAAAATGTTAATGCTCTTTGATCCAGAGAGCCCATTGCTAGGCATATACAGTGAAGGAGGTCAAAGAAAGAAATGTCCCATATATGCTAAAATATTCACAGCAGCACTTTGTAGTAGTAAAAAAAGTGGAAACAAAGCAGATGCCCATTGAATGGTGCCATAAGAATCAATGAATATGAAGAATTCAGAGAAGATTTACATGAACTGATATAGAATAAAGTTAGCAGAACCGGGAAGAACAATATACATAATTACTACAACATAAATAGAAAAAACAACAACAAAAATTAAAACTGAACAATGTGAAATTATAATGACAAATCTTGGTCCCAAAGAGGAGATCTCTGTTCATTGAAGATGTAAAGGGAAAACAGATGCAGAATACTGCATATATGGGATGTCCTAAAAGTCTGAGTGCACTCTTAAGCTTTAATAGTTAAAAGATGCATCAAGACTTTTGGGACATTCTGTACTGTCAGACTTGTTTGAGGTGTGGATTAGCTTTGCTAAGCTGCTTTTTTCCCCTTCTTTATTTTTTGTTATAAGGGGTGACTTTGGGATAGGGATATGTTAGAAAATGAAAGTAACATAAAAACAAAATATATCAATGAATTTTTAAATGTCACCTTTATCTTGAAGGGATAGATTAAATGTGTTTGTGGTTGTTTTATTTTTAAAATATAACTGTGAGGTAGCATACTACAGATAGCCACTTGTCATCATAGAAAAGGTCAACAGATTTGGAAAGCTTGTCTTTTTGTAAAAGAAAAATGCACACCATTTTTTAAAAAATGGCTTGCCAGGAGATAACCAGGAAACCTCTGTGGAAAAAATGTAAAGATATGTAATCTTTATGGAGTAAAGGTTTTGGGAGGTTTTTTTCTTTGTTTCCATAGCGCTTGCCAAATAAATACTTCATGGAGGAGTACTGGCAATTTTTCCTGATACTTAAGTATTCAGCAAATGTTTTTGCAGGGTATGGATTGCATATCTTTTCTCATATCTTTCATCAAGTCTCTATATTATTGCAGAGATTGAGCTAAGTTTGTAGCTACTGAAACCAACTGAAGTTATTGGAGATGAATATCTCCAATACTCAATAAAGTTGTAAGTTCTTTTCAAAATTAATCAATCAACAGTCATTCATTAAGTGCCTACTCTATGCCAGGCATTGTGCCAGGCTCTGATGATACAGACAAAAGGGAAACAGCCCCTACTTTCAAAGAGCTTATATTCTGTCAGCAGAAACAATGTATATAATGGACATCATATTGCTTGCCTTCTCAGTGGGTAGGGGAGGGGCAGGAGGGAGGGAGAGAATTGGAATTCAAAAAAATGTTTAAAAAAAAAAAGAAACACTACATTAATAGGTACTTATGGAATATATACCAATAAATACAAGGTAATTTTGGTAGGGCATTAGAAGTTAAGGGGAACAGGAAAGGTTTGATGTAGAAGGTAGTGCTTGAACTGAGTGTTGAAGAAAAGAAGAAATTCTAAGAGGCAGAGATGAGAAGGTAATACAAAGGGCTACTTCCTTGGATGATGGCTTCAGGGACTATGCCTAAAGTAAGGCTAGTGGTCTGTGGGACTCTACCATTCTTGAGACTCTAGGGCTTACCTGCTTATCAGAAGCAGTTGGTGCTGGTGTTGGTGGTGATGCGAATGGCAGGCTCCTTCTCCACAAGTGTTGTTCCCCTTGATGGCTGAAGAGCTGATCTAGAAGTGGGACTGGTGGTTTGGGCAGCAAAGATTAGAGACTCTATCAGCAGAGACTTAGCTTCAGACCTGGAAAATTAGAAATGAGAGAAGTCTATTGCATCAAAACATCCTTCCCATGGGGCAAGATTAGTGTGGTTCTATGGCTACATAAGTCCCTGTGTGACTCTTTGTGTCAATCTCAGTGCACATGCTAAGTGTGGCAAATCTCACATTCCCAGAGTGGAGAAAATGTCCACTTGTGCACTTTCAGAGGATACCTTTTGCTAGGTATTTTTTCATGCCTGAGAGATGATCGAACATATAGACATTACTTTGCTGGAAGAATGTCGGTATTTGAAAGCAAGCAGGTTTTGTCTTCATAGCTTGGGAAACGAATCCAATAACACTTAGAATTAAGTACAGTAAAGTCTCACAAGGAGAGCTGCTAGTAACTGGGAAGTATCTTGAAACACAGTCAATAAATTCGGAATCTTTGATAAGAACATCTGACAAAATAACTCCTGGGCATATTTACAAAGATGCATTTCTCCCAGTAGGAAAACACCATTTAAAAATAATTGTTCCTGCAGTTTTCAACCATCACACAATGAATTAAACAGATGGATGCAGAGAACGCTTTTGTTAATCATCTTACCTTAAAAGCACACTACTGAGAACATGTTTGCACAAGATATACCTGCATTTTCAGTAATGGTGTGACTATAAAACTGCCGAGAACCAGCTTATCACACCAGCCAATTAAAATTAGGGTTAGGATTGAAAGGAAAGCTAGAAAACTCCCCAAAGCTAAAGTCTTATAATGGAGTTTTATAAACTGGCTCAGTCATACAACATAGGCTCTCTTTCACTATAGGAGTACCATAATGAGAGAAGTGAGGCTACTGATCACTCTAGATTTTGTCATTTACCTATTTTGCCTCCTTCCACTTCATGGGGAAACAAAGTCAAGTGTATTTATTATACATGTAAAAACTATGCTATTAAAGTTTTCCTTTAGTGCTTCATCATGGGATGGAGATGATCCTAAGCTCTCAAAGCTCTGGTAAGGTTCTACCAAGCAAGAAGAGCTTCCATGGCCCATTGATGGGCAGTGTATGCACTGTCCAAGAACAAGTCTAAATAAGTTGGAGAGACTAGTCAACAGGTTGACCGTAGGGGAATGAACTTTTTTGACCATAGTAGCTATTAAAGACCATCAACAAAGGAATTGGGAGAACAGAAAAGCTTGAATCCATGGTGGTAAGCCTCACTAAAAAAAATTACAAAAGAGAGGATAACTTATGGGGAATGCAAATACAGAGAATTGAAGGACAATATGGACAAAGGGAAATTAAAAAAAAAACAGTGACATCCAAAGAAAGCATTACCTCCATATATGCAAAATATATTTATCTCAAAGACAGGATACATACAGATAATTTAAGGACTATTGGGCTGCTAAAAGAACACGACAAGTCAAAGAACAGAACACCATAATGAGAGAAATAACACAAGAAAATGGCACATAACTTCTAAACACAGAAGACAAATTTCCAACTGAAAGAATCTGCAGATTGACTCAAAAACAACAACAACAACAAAACTCACAAGAGTTCGTTGCAAACTCTAAGACACATAGTGGTTAAATTTAACAATTCCATTCACAAACAACAAATTCTGCAAGCAACCACAAAAAATTTTTTCAAATATAAAGGAAATTTGAAGAACACAAGACTATTCTACACCCACCATAAATAGCAGGAAGGAATGGAATGTGTTCCAAAGAGCAGAGGCAACAACTACTGTCTCAGAGAAGGGGCAAAGCTAAATCTTATTTTATTAGTCAACTATAATAAAAAGATGCACAAGATGAGAAGATGGAGGTGACTGAATTTAGTAACCTTAGAAATTGTGCTTCAACTCAGTTGCTCATTTCCTGGCTGCTTCAGGGGCTTTACAAACTGCCCTAGCTTCAGAGGCCACAGCAAGCAGAAAGAAATGACCAAATTTTCATTTTTCAATTGCCTGAGAAAACAAAGCTAAAATATATGCATTTATGTAAATTATATGTAATACAAATGGTCCTCATTTCTATCCCCCTCATTGTTAGTGTCCTAGGAGGTAGGCCTTAGGGAAATCCTAGTGGAAAAAAAAATTGCTTAAGTGTCTATTTACAAGATGTTCATGTAACAGCCTACAATGCTAACATACTTCCTATTGAAGGAATGACTGAAGGATCTGGATCAATCACTCGAGGAGTCATTTGGGGTTTTAAAACAGGCATATCTCGGGGGCAGAGCCAAGATAGCAGAATGAAAGCAGTGACTTGTTTGAGCTCTCTCCCAAAGCTCTCCAAATGCCTGTAAAAAACGACCAACACAACCTGGATGGTTGATTGGAAAGGTCTATTGTGCTGGTCACGACCCACAGTTTAAGAAACGCTGAAGGGGTCGTGAGTGGAAAAAGTTTAAGCAGTCCTGGTCCAGTCTCTGTCTTTCCCTTTGTCCACAGGAATAGGATAAGGGACTTTATTAAATGTTTTGTTAAAATCTGGGTAAACTCTCTTTTTATACAGTATTACATTGAACTACCAGTATCAAAAAAGGAAGTGACGTTAGTCTGGCATGACCTGTTCTTGATGAAGCCATACTGGCTCTTTGTGATCACTATTTCCTTTTCTAGGGGATCTCTAACCATCCCTACAGTACTTCCTAAACTTGCCCTAGGTCACAAAGGTATTTATTAGAACCATACTGAATAATATGAAACATGAACCATTTTAAATTGGGAAAAGAAAAAAGTCCATGTTTGACTTGGTGGCTTATTGGTAGCTGACTGTTAAATATCAAACTATTTTGGAATATAAAATTCAAGTGGGCTTATCACTTTTACTTTCTTATGAGAATAAGGCAGATAAGTTAATTGGGATGAAAGGATGGTAAATCTGTGAAAGAATAAAAAAAGATATACTCAAAAATTTTGCCAAGAAAGAGACCTATAGTTTGCAGACTCTATTCTCTTTCTTGGTTTGAAAAGCAGAAAAACACTTGCCCTTTTGCAATCAATCATTCAATTAATAAGAATTGCTAAAGCCCCCACTATATGCAAGGCATTGGGGATTCAAATAGCAAAGCTCTCTATCCTAAAGAGGCTTACATGTTTCTCCTGAAGGTGGCCTGGGTTATTTTTCTTAATCTCCATGCTCTTTCAAAGTTCACTGATAGTGATTTACTAATTACGTTTGCTTCGACAAACATTTATTAAACTGCCTACTATGCACATTTCCACCAATTCTTTCAATAGCGTATCTGAGCCTGATAACTTGAACTCATTGAAGGCCACTCTGTGTTCTCTTACCGTATTCCACATTATCTTGATGCTGAATCCCCTATTAGTCATTTTTGTTCTGTCCTTTCCAGTCTAAAGAACATTCCCCTTGACATAGAGATCAGAAACAAAATAAGGGTTGAACAATTCTACTTTTTCTGTTGTCAGCTATCATTGTCCCTTCTACACCAAGCAGTACTATCCCTTCTTTATACCTCTTCTTTTCCTGCATATAGCTAAAATTTGGCTCTGTTGTTTTTAGCTTTTTTCAGCATCTTCAGATCATTCTAAATTTTAGCACTCCTAATAATAGCATTCTTGTAGGACCATGCTAGACTTTGTAGTCATTTTCTATTACCACCAGCCCTCGCTTCCATCTTCTACCCATACAGTTTATCTGTGATGTCATGTGTATTTATTCCAACAGTGCAGATTATCACCTATCTATGCCTTCTCATTATGTGTGACTTGTCAATTTTCTCCCATCAATCCTAAGGGGGCAAGGGTTGGGATTCACCCAGAGTGACAGGGGCTTTCCTTTACATCTCTTAACACTGTTTGACTATCAGTGGAGCACGGAGACTGTCCAACTCTTGTATGTCTTTCTTAAAGTATAAGTTGGAACTTTCAACGAGATGGCTGAATGAGAGGCCATGTCTAAGCCCAGTTCCCTCTCATCATTTTAAAACAGCATGAAATGTGCCCAGTAAAACCAACAAGAAATAAAGAAGGGAAAGAAAAACCTGACTGGGAAACTATTAGAGATGGCTCCCCAAATGAGTAAAAAGCCCAAATGAGGTCTTACTGCAATGAATAAGTATTATGGAGTAAAAGGGATACAAAAATCCCAGAAGAGTTATAATGCAATAATAATGAGACCCACATAAATTACAATGGGACAACTGCTAGCATTTCCAGAGTGATTTGGAAACTCAACAAAAGAATTAGAACATAGTGCCTTTTGGAGACAGATCTGCAGGCAAAGCAAGTCTCCAGTGCCTAGCTTCATAGACTGCTAGGATTTGTAATCCAGTGTATAAAAGAGTAGCCTCTTCAGTCTGAGCATTTTGTGACTTGACGGACATGACTGGGCAGTTAAGCCTCAAATGGCAGCTATAACAATTTGGTCCCTGAGAACAACTTGAAGTGTATAGTCCAGGACAAGGGACTGGGCATAGAATGTTGCTTTGGCAGTCAGCCTTGGCTCTGCAGAAAAAAAAAAGGGAACTCACTTTCGGGAAGTGAAAGACCCTTTTCCAAGGAGCCAAGTAAGATCAAGTTTTCTCTCTTTCCAATTCTCCCCTCACTCCTCCTAACTGGGCACTACCTGGTGTCCACTTCTGAAATGTTTCTTCACTATGCTTTACATTCTTTTTATCCTGATTTTTTCTTCTACATAGAATATATGGTAGACCATGAATTGTTGAAACCTTCAACAAAATACTGTACTTTTTATGTTAATGCTTTTAAAAAAAGAGCATAGCAATGTAAAGATATTTCCTTAATATTATCAAAAACGTTCATCTAAAACAATAAGGTGCATTATTTGTAATGAGGAAATACTAGAAGCTTTAGCAATAACACTGTGGGTAAAGCAAGGATACTCTGTCTCTGCTACTATTTGACATAGTACCAGAAATATTTACTATAGCAAAAAGACAGGAAAAAAATAAATGAATAAACCAAACTGAAACCAAAATTATCCCTATTAACACTGTAGTGATTTACTTAGAAAACCCTAAAGAATCAACAGT